ATTTTGAATGTGTACCCAAAATTTGGACGAAAGAAGATGAAAAAGCATCATTTTTAGGAAACTTGTCGAAATTTCGGCTTACTATCTCCATACAAGCATGAGCTGCTTACTCGAGGTGACCTAGGAGCTCATCATAAAGGCATACTTTAGAGATATAGAAACTTTTGAAAAACTTATGACGCTGTAGCTAGCTTTTTTTCAGAAGATGATATCATGAAACTGCTTGAAAGTAAAGAGGACACAACGATTAAGGGGGATGAAGATGGCGAATGTTTGACATACGATGGAATGATTTGTAAAGAAAGAGCGAAGAAATTTCCTCCCTCATACTACCATGTGGAGGAGATGAACAAGGGTCCAGGTAAGGACTAACGAGGATTATTAGAAGAAATGACAATAAAGCATAAACAAATCTCAAAAATAAGTTTGATTCCTCATTGACAGAAATCTCCAGAACACTTGCCTATGAGGACTCAGTTTCAGTGGACTTTGCTCCCCGTCTGGCGAGGATTCCATCACAATACCAACTCGAGTCACTAACAGAAGTTTATGTTTGCGATTATCCTTCACTGTTTTGGTACATTTTTTTCAAATTTCAGTGAGCAGATACAGCCTAAAATCTTCCTTTTCAGCCATAATAGACCATGTACAGAAGCGATGGATGTTGAGTCACTATCGACAGCCTTTCCAACAAATCACATTGTATCCGAAGCAACAGAACTTCATCCAGTGTATTCGGAATATGTGTCTGAGATGTTGTACTAGGCTTTCAAATGTCTAACTGGCTCCACAGATTCCAATGATAGAATGCACGATTTGATCTATTTTATAAAAGTTTACTGTCTTCTTAGCTACACTGACCGTCAATTTGTTAGCTACAAACGATTAATAGTTAAAAGTTGCTTATACTTGATAGGCATCCTAGATTCTCTTATTAGACGGAACTCAAAAAAATGCCCACTTTCAGCGATCAACAACTCTTTTATTCCAAATCTTTCTCAAGCTATAATGACTAACCTTATAAAGCTATCTTAAGCTTTTCAGTTATTAGCGGATAGCGTAGTTTAGACGATTACGGTACGACTACGGTATAAGTCATGGATGGGTAGAAGCTACAAGCAGCTACCGTAGTTTGATGAACATTATCACACCAGATTCTATATCTAGAGTACCCGAACCCATCAAACAAGTTTTTGGCGCTTTTAGAACTATCTTAGGGCCAGTGTCAGTGTCACTTTGTGTTTTTTTGCCGGCTTTAGCCACCCTACAATTCCTGTCGTAGCGAAAACAGAAGAAGACGCATTTTAATGTCTAAGTTTGAATGATAGTTAAACCTCGATAGAAATGGATAAAAAACTT